CGGTCGCCGGCGCCATCTGCCCCGCCTAGGACCTCCGGATCCTCCCCGTCGCCCTGGCTCATCGGCTCTCCGCCTCGGGCTCCTCCACCACCTGCTCTGCAGCCGTTGGTCGGCCCCCTGGAGTCGGCGGCCATTCCTCCTCCATGACTCTGAGGCCGTGACGTCAGTCAAGGTGTGTGAGCCGGCAACAACGCCTGCCACGAGAGAGAAAGCCATGGACGGTGTGAGCGCGGAGAGGAGCTCCGCCTCCTGCACCGTGGCTGAGGGTGAGCTGAGTATGGCGGGGCGAAAGTGCCAAAAGGACAAGGAAAGGGTTCCAGTTTTGCCCCTGTGACCCAGTTTCTTCCTCATGTTGATTGTGTTAATTTGATTCCAGGTGTGTCTTGTTCCTCCCCAATTATCCCCAATTTAAATTATATATTTAAAAGCCCTAGTCCTTTCTGTTCTTGTTTGTCGGGTCTACTTATTGAATGCCCTCCTTGTTCTCGGTTTTCCTGTGGATTATTAAAGTCTGTGTTATTCAAGTACTCCTCGTTTCCTCATTCCTTGCTCCCCGAGTGAATTGTGACAGATCCGCAGAAGAAAAATGAATGTGCTCAACAATTTGGGATTAAGTGGGTTTACAATAATGATCTGAACAAACCGCTAGAGATTTTAGAGCCAAACTATATGATCAGAATATCATTTTTTGACTTGAACCAGTAAGCAGCAAACTAGTAGTGACTACCAAAAACACCCTAGAAATCACTTAGCCCTGGAAGGCATCCAAAACACCCTCACATCGTAGGCGAACATCAGAAAAAGTCAAAACTATCATTTTAACAGAGAAGCCTACATTAATCAATGTTGCCTAAGACTATAAAGTGTTGGAACAACTTATCGTTTGATCAACTAAACTAAATCGTTCCTCCAAAACCAGCATCAAAGACTCGCTGCTGTTTGTTTCTGGCCATGTTATCATTATTTCAGCTGGAAATCTCCAGGGCGAGGTGGACTACGTGTCCGGCTGGATTTGTCGCTGCAGAGCAGATCCAGTAGAAAGCAGGGCTCCCATTTGAGCAGCACTGGGGTTCCCTGTCCCCTGAGGCCTCGCTCTGACCGCTCCGAGCCGCTGGAGAAGAGCCAGCTCACACCGAGGTGTCCGCTTTCTGCTCTGTCTGCCTCGGCTAACACAGAAATGTACGTAATACACCAGAGACAGTGCACCTTTAGTTATAGAGATCATATATAACCAGGGCTAGTCTTGTGTAACACAAAATGAAATTGTATTGTATGGAACGTTTCAGACGGGGGCATGAATTGTGCATGACTTCTCTCCACTGCATCTCATTAAGAGGGAGTCAGGTTATCTATATCAAAGACCCGTCACTCCGCTCATAGCAGCAGTTCACAGGTCGCTTCAATAGTAAAGTTCACAACAGCGGGGTAATTTGCAGGTTGAGTTGCAGGGATCAAAAGGCTGTGACATCTCTAAAATAGCATGTCTGAACATGTTCAAGCAAAGAAAGGAAAGAAGAGCATCCTCTTGTCTGAGTCTTTCATTCTCATTTAATGTTTGCTTCAAGGCATCTCTTCCACTTTGGGCTGTGTGCTCTTTTAGAAAATAACTTCTACTAAAAAAACAAGAGTTTTTTGTGAAACAATACCTGCATTGCAGAAGAATTCTGTCATTTTTCTGAAACATCGTTTTCTCCACATATCAAATTGCATGTCATGTGGAAATGGTGGAAATGACAGTGATGAAAATGACATTTTAAAAACTTTTGGAATAAAAAACCTGACTCCTTTGTGTGGCTAAAAACAATTTCACTGCTTGCATTTAACAATTTAAAAAAAATACATCTCATATTTCACGTTAAGCTCTTTACTAACACTGTTGTTTCCTTAGTGTAACCAAGTATACTAACTTATTAATAAAACAATTAATTGTTGATAAAACTTTCATGAAGGGAAACTGTTAGTCATCATGTATGCCGCAAACAGTTAACTTGTGCAAAACCATTATTTAAAAAAAGGTCTGGGAGAAGGGTAAAACAAAAAATTAGTAAGTAAATAAATAAATACAGTTGTAAATAGATAAATGTAATTGCAAATAAATAACTAACAAACTAAATAAATAAATAAATATCATTGTAAGTAAATAAAACGTCATTGCAAATAAATAAATAAATGTCATTGCAAAAACTCTCCAAAACTGTCCAGTGTGATCTGAAAATAAAATAAAATAAAATAAAATAAAATAAAATAAAATAAAATGTTTGTTTTAATAAAAATCAACCCCTGGAAAAAATAACTGTGCCTCAAATATACTGAAACACCCATTAACATCGATTCAACTCAATCTTCATGCACACTGGGATTTACCTCTCACGATGATGCAGACGACAGGCTCTAATGATAAAATGATGATCTTTAAATTTAATTCTGCAGTGGTACCATCATTCTTTCTAAATTTATGCCTGCTCTGATTAACGTAACCATATGATGACAGTCTCAAAACACAACATCAAAGAATTCCTCGTCTAAGCATGCCAAAGACCCGGAATAACCTCTGCTGTCTTCTTCAGCATAAACTGCAGTCACTTCCAAGACACTCTGGAGAGATTCTTCAAGAGGAGTGCTGATCCAGAGTGCCATACACAGTGACAGAGGGATAAGGAGTAAGGCCTTCCCCAGAGAGAGGGACATTCTGCAGATAAGCTACTGAAAGGAGAAAGATATTGCCATGTGGTTTGTTGTGATATCGAGCACACGGTGATATCAGCGATGTTTGCCGGTATAAATGAAAATGTTTGGAGAGACAATGCATCCTCCACGATGAAGTGTTACGCTGCGGGTGCAGCGATGACCACACACTCAGATTGCGGTGATGTGTTTCCACAACGGGGGATTTGACAGCTTTGTTAGACATGCTAGAACTCCAACTCACCGAGAGCTGGATTGCCGCCGGAGCTTGTCTTGCTTTACCTATACTTTCATTTGGTTTGTAAGGTTCCTGAATAAATCTCCCTGTCTTTTTCTCACATTTCAAATTTCAGTAGTGGAATTTAAAACTACTTCCTTCCGCCACCGATTCAAATATTAAAATCATAGTTTAACAGCTGAGCCCAAGCCTCTGTTACTAATTCAAAAACTAGTAACGAAGGAATGTTGAGTTGCTTCATTGAAAACTTATTGTATTACTGTATTAAAACCTCACAGTATTATGTAGAGTATAATGAGAGAGATACGTCTGATACAGCATTAATTTTTCACCTCAATCTCATATTTACAATAAAACATTACTTTGAATGTATGCCGAGGAAAACGATATCTTTGTCGTACTATCCTTTCATCTGTTACGGGTGATTTCCAATGACAGCGCTGTTCAGTGCATTTGTTATCTGCGTCTTACAAGGTGTTGTTGAAAGTAAAAATAACTTCCTTGTTTACAACCCTGTTTCAGTCTCTTTCAAAATAAAAGTCTTTGCTACTGACTCATAAAGGCAGTCTCTTATCGCCATCTAATGGCGGAAAAATGCAACTAAACACAGACTGCTTCTTAATAGCAAATACTATTATTAAATACAACTATTATTTGCATAAAATAGGCTATTATTTATTGAAAAATACATTTAATAAACACCAACAGCCATTATAAATTTTGCTAAGCAATTCAAAAGTACATAGGCAGTGCTCTGATACAACATTGCATTTAGATAAAATATAAAGCTATGAGACTTTGTCCTCAGCCAAAACTATTTGCTCTGGAACAAATAATAAATTAATGAGACCAAAGACTGCCTGTTAGATTTACCCAAAACGAATATCTCATGTTTAACCACTATAGATACATCAGAGCCAGCGGCAAATTCCAGAAGAACTGATTGAGGCGATGCTGCTCTCAGCGGGTTCATAAATGCTGAACGTCTCCAAAAACGTCAAAGCAAATTTTTAAATAGATGTTATCTTTATAAACATACAGCATATTTGAAGTTTTAAAAAAACTACATTCTCACCTAAAAACATTCAGTGACACAAAAACAGTAGGAATTTTAAAATTATAGTGGGGTTGGTTGTCCGCCAAGACAGTCGCTGTGAGAAATGCCTCAAGCAGAGAGATACAAATGATGAAACAAAATATTACATGGCTGAAAATACCTCTCAGCTATCTGATTCAAGGACCAGAAGTAACTGTTTTGTATAAAATTCATCTCACATTCATAAATTATCAGTTATGATTAAAACCATTACACCTTTACTCAGCACTCTGAGCGTAAACATAAACATAACAGCACCGTAACATGACAACAACATGAAGACCACTGGACACTGAGCGATGAGGAACACACACTCAGTGCTATTTATAAGCATCATTACTGTGTTGTTTAGTGCTGTGAGACTACAGTGATGTTACAGGACACTGAGGGTTTGTAAGCAGATACCGGAAGAAAAAGCTGATGCCAACATAGGAAAACCATATCTCCTCTGTCCTGCTGAGTAAACGGGCCCGAATCCTCTGGAGACCTTCAAGTCCCCTGATGCTGAAGTAGATTCCCCAGAAATCCCAGAGAGACTGCATTCCTGTAATTTCTGAGGGAACCAGTGCATTTACAGCAGTGACATTTCAAAAAAGGAGATCGCTGAGGTGAACATATGGCCGTATGTCAATGTTGCGCCAAGCAAGTAGATTCATACAAAGGCCTCAGGCGGGGTTAAAACACTTTTTACTGATTTATGCATGAACCAGGTCTATTTATAAACCATTTTGGGTCGGCTACAACATGCTAAAGGAAAAGACAGATGATGTTATTGATGCTCTAACCTCTCATTGGTATCTACTTCTTCCATCTCAGGCATCTGGCCAGTGGAACTCAGATTCATGTACCCGTAGATGTGGAGCGGTCCTGCGAAACGAGGAGAAACAGAGGTTACGGTGATGGACCGGTCAAGACACAGCATCTGTTTTAACTCATAAATTATCAGTTTATTTCACGCTGGCTTCATGATTTGCTGTTGTAGTTTTCTCTGTACAGATGACAAAAATAGCTGCTCAATGAAATCGGGTCAGCCTAAATTTAAAAGGAAGGAAAATACATCAGCGGATGATGTGTGTTATCTATTAACCTCGGGATCAATATGAGAGACCGGCCGTAACGTGGCAGGAAAAAAATTTACAACTGTTGTTGAATGTCAAGTGTCGCAGAGGAGGGTAAAATGACATATGAGCTCGGCAGCCTGGTTTTGTGAAAACAAGGAACGTGATAGAAAAGTAAGTCCTTTTCAGGGGCTTAAAAGAGAAGAAAATGAATGCATAGTTTCTAGACCTTTTGACCAATGAATTTGAATGCATTATTCATGACATTTTCAGTTCTAGTACATAAGGATTTAAAAAATTACTTTACAAAGAATGCACTCGAAAAGAGCAAAAATAATTTATATTCACTACAGAAATCTCCATGATATCCCAAGGCCTGGAAATTAAACATAAATGTTTTGTTTTTGCATGGGAACCCTGCTGATAGACTCTCAGTTGTTATTGGTTTAACTTAGATGCTCGACAAACACTGCTGATTGCATGGGCATGGAGAACTCAGAGTTAACGAGTTAAGAGTTTCTTAAAGTCTGTTATGAACTCAACCCCCAGTGCGCCAAACAATAAGTTCAAGGCTTACATAAAAACCTTAATGGCCATATTTAAAACCAAGTTTTACTCTGCATGGTCAAGGTAAATTAGGTCACTTACTGTATTGCATTGTACATTACGATGACACATAATCTCTTGAAAATGAATATAGCCTTTTTCCTGCATTCTCATGTGGCAGGAGGAACAATATAATCTCATTTAAAGGGATAGTTCAACCAAAAATGGAAAGTCTGCCATCATTTATTCAACCTATTAATGTTCCAAACATGACATCTAATTTATGGCATATTTGAACGTGCATAAACACAGAGCAATATCTGAATGTAAAATTTTCATGTGAACAACTTTTAGTCAATTAATCACAAACAGCTGCATAAGTAATACAGAGTATTTTTGGTGCTTTCCCCCACCATTTTTGTAACTCAACCTCATCCATCCCCAATCGCATTCACTGAGTAGGAAAGAGTACCATAAGAGGGTACATTACTGTGGCACATTGAGGCTGTTTTGTTTTTAATGCATGTCAAAAGAGGAGAAGCTGCAGTACACTGAATAAACTGCTTCTGTAAGGAAAATCAACAAACTAAATATTTAGGCCTAAATTAAGGATTTTTATATTTGAATTTCATTTAAAATTTAAAATTTAGAAACGCGATTTCTACCGAGGGACCATTTGTGAATCATAACAAAATAAGCTCTTAAGACTTCACTCAAGTTCCAAGGGCCCTTTGAAAGGTTTGATTCATTCAGCAGGAGAGAGCTCCATGTCAAATGAATCGTCTCCTGTTTTCTTTCACATCTGAAGCAAGGAGATTTGTAACTGCAATAAGTGTCTGGGTTCGGCACATGCACAGACGTATAAATCCATGCTGGCACAATAAGAGCAGCTCTGCAGTTGGGAAGCATGCCCACGTGAAACACACACACATATACACAGACAGAGAGAGTGAGAGGGTCTGGTAAAGGTTTACAGTAAACGTGGCTGGACTGGTGTGATTCTCATCATCATCAGCTCTGCCTGAGAGGAGAATTCCAGCATGAGCCCACCAACATGGATGTTACACCTCCAGACAGGACACAAGTCTCCCGGTTAGTGGCCAGTTAGTCTGTGTTTTACATTCTCCTGATGTGACCATTGACACCCAGAACACTGCAGTGTTTCCTTCCTGAACAAATCTGAACAAATCATTTGAATCAATGATTCAATGATCCATTCATAAAGACAGTCACTTGCTTCCTTCCTAAATGAATCAGCCATTTTAAAGAAATTGTTTGAATTAATGATTTAATTAATCACTCAGTTAGACAGGGACTTTGGTTTTGGTGTCATATTAATTTATCCATAACTAGCCGAAACCAACCAAGGTATGAGCACAAAAACACATGCAGCAAAATATAATTTAATTATCGTTAGCAAAAAATCCCAATATTGAGATATCATTTTTTGTCAATATCGCACACCACTACATACATAAAGAGGATATGAGTTCTGACATAATCTAATAAACATAGACAGACGTGAAGAAATGACTAAAGCTAACAGCACCTGAAAAAGCTGGCCAAATGCCATTAGTTTTAGCACAACACATGTCAAACATACGCCAGAGTCATAAAACACAGACACGGTTTCTTGTAACTAAGAGTCCCTTTCGATTTTTATTTGCTTGCAAGTGACTTCAAAAGCCATTTAAAATGGGAGTGAATTAAATAAACTGGATGCTCATGAAATCTGAAAGCTACAAAATGTGCTTGGCCCACAAGGGGCTTTCTAATCTACTCTAGAGTGCCACATAAAAATGGAGAAGAAAAAAAAACAAACACCGGAATATTCTCAATTCAGCTCCTTTAGAAGCAAATCTTGACATAGTCAATTCAGAAAAGCAGCGCATATCACACAGCACAGTTTAATTAAAATATTACGTGTTTTAACCTTCAAGTAGACACATTCACAAAGGACGTGCAGAAGATGCACAGGATGTTAAATGTTGAGGTGTCATTGCTGCTGCTAAGTGATACCGGCCAAAGAATAAAATTTCACTTTTTTGCAGTGATCAATGTCTTATCTGTATAGATATGCAGGATCATTGTGGTGAAAGTTTTCTTCTGTCTGCCTTTATCCGTCTCTAGTTACACTAGTGGAAGTGCCGGTTTCAGGTGGCATGCCACAGACTCTGGCACATTTTGATATTGCAAGCTGGTGAAAAATGCTAGCTTTATTCTTATTGGCTGAGCACATGTTGATTTTTTTAAAGGAACAGTGACCCTGAAAATTTCAACGTATAGCTTTGTGAGAGTAACAGACCAAAATTCAAGTTGTTACTCAATGAAAATCGTCCTTTTGTCATAATGAGAAAGCAGGTTTGACATCAAACATCATTGGTTCTTGTGTGTCTTGTATGCAGCAGGTTTGAATATGTGCAAATGCCAATATTCTTTTGAGAGCTATAAAGGTAAAAAAAAAATTGTGATGATATGAGAAAGAAAAATAATGACAGAATGTTAATTTCTTTGTTCATCAAACAAGGTATCTAGCACCTGCATATTTATACAACTATCAAATTTTAGATTTGTACTGAAATGAACTGTTTAGAGTAGTGGTCGACCGATATTGTTTTTTTGACAGCCGATGCCAATGCCGATATCTTGGAAAGCAGCGTGGCCGATGGCCGATTTAAAGCCGATATAATTTAATTTATTTTAATTAATGTTTAAGAAATTTGAAATCATTTGAATTGATGTCAAGCGCTGTCAGCACCGTCAAAATAAAAGTCTGTCGCGCCGTCAAAATAAAAGTCCCGCCTCGAACGCATCGGCGAAACAGGAAAACTTATCGGCCGATGCCGATATTTTAAAAATGGCAAATATTGCCCGATATATCGGCCTTGGCGATATATCGGTCGACCACTAGTTTAGAGGGCCCCTTCTGGTCTATGTGGGCGGTTCTTGGCCAGAATAAACTGCAGAACTCATATTTTATGCTACACAAGACTTGGCTGCATGATATAAAGTCAATATGAAACAGGACCTTTCACTCCTTTTTAGGACGACGGCGAACAAGAGGAAGAATGTGAGCACTGTGTGTTCAGGCGCAAGCGCTGTCAGCGCCGTCAAAATAAAAGTCTGTCGCGCCGTCAAAATAAAAGTCCCGCCTCGAACGCATCGGCGAAACAGGAAAACTTATCGGCCGATGCCGATATTTTAAAAATGGCAAATATCGCCCGATATATCGGCCTTGGCGATATATCGGTCGACCACTAGTTTAGAGGGCCCCTTCTGGTCTATGTGGGCGGTTCTTGGCCAGAATAAACTGCAGAACTCATATTTTATGCTACACAAGACTTGGCTGCATGATATAAAGTCAATATGAAACAGGACCTTTCACTCCTTTTTTTCCAAGCAAAACAGGATAGTCAACAAAGAAAAAAATACTCAATTTTAGCTATCAGGAATTGACAGGGTCATGAAATGTAGGTGTTAGTAAGAGGGTTTCATGACGTCAGTTTAAAAGGAAAGTTATTTTGGAGGCAGAGCAAAACATTACATTTTAATAGATGATGAATTTTTATTGGGAACAGTGTGCACCAATTTTTATCTTTAAATATACATGCATCAAAAAATAAAAACTATATAATTTCCACAAAAATATTAAACCACATAAGGTTTAAACATAAACATTAAAGGCATAAACATAAGAATTTTTTTCTTTGAGCAGCAAATCAGCATATTACAATGATTTCTGAAGGATCAGGTGACAGTGAAGACTGGAGTGATTATGATGAAAATTCAGCTTTGCAACAGGGATAAATTATATTTTAAAATATAACCAAATAGAAAACAGTTATTTGAAATTGTAATCATTTTTAACATTATTACAGTTTTTTCTATATTTTTGATCAAATAACTGCAGCCTTGGTGAGCAGAAGAGACTTGCAAAAACAAAGTATTTTACAGATCCCATTATATTTTTCAATATCAGCCCCAGTTTTTCAAAAAGTACAAGACACTAACCAGAGCAACATACATTCTTTCACGTGGATCACAGATACACGACTTCTCTCAGGTAAACTCAATCTCCTGGCTCAAAATTGAAGGATCTTTTGAATTTGAGGTGCCGACTCAGCCACCCACTGAAAACTGAGAAGGCCTTTCAAACTTTCCTCCATCTCAATAAAACAGGCCTCGCTGAGTCAGCCCTCTCCAGCGGGCAGATTGAATTACCGCTGGAGACCGTCTCCCAGATGTGAGGAGGGTCTCCAGCAC